AGCAACTATACAAAGCTTAGAATAGCTCATGATCAAATATAATAGACATTGATTGTCTGTTATATTTAAGAATATATCTTTGATCTGCTGCCCCAATACACTAAATGCATATATATATATATATATGTATGAAGAAATAAAGTTTTAAGGTGTGCTATATTTATGGGATAAAGTGCTCAATATCAGAGATAGAGTATATGTAAATATAAAAGTGAACATTGAAGTCAACCTCTGTTGACTTCAATGTTCACTTTATATATATATATATATATATATATATATATATATATATATATATATATATATATGTATCCACATACAAACCTGTTTCACTGTGTCACAGGTAAACAAGGGATTCAGCTGCCATTACAAAATTGGTGTCAAACCATTTCCCTTGTTTATCTAATTACTATTTCTACTATAGAAAATTCAACAGTTAAAAATTTTTTTTATCGGCAGTACTAAGAATTCCTTTAAAACTAGGTGGTATCAACATATATTATCTTTCAACAACAACATATACAGAATTAGGACGTCCCTTTCTAAATATTTTGGGAACTTAAAAGAAGTTAACTAAACCCTGATGGTAAAATGGAAAATATGAACAAAAAAACTAGAACTTGCAAATCTTTACATGAACTATGTTTTCTGTGTTTACAGAAAAATTTCAAATAATCAAGTTTGCTAACAAAAAATCTCTGTTAAACCAAAGAAGTGAATTAATGGTGAAATGCTGACACAGTTTTCCTTATCCTTTTTTTAAATATAGTTAAATAATTTTTTATAAAAAACAATTACGTATTACAATTTTATAGCCATAATTTTATTAGTATATAATGGTCCACCCACTATGGGTAATTACCTTATTTGGTTTATTCAACTTTAATATTGCTATGTTTGCCATCTATTCAGTATTATTAGCATCATATATAGATGTTCCACATTTTTGATTTTATCTAGAGGCCCCTTTAAGAAGCTTCCTGAATATATAAAAAAAAATGTTTCTGATAACTTTACGTCTGATTAACCTCCCCTACCACTTCAACAAATGAGCACAGACTGCAGAAGAGGGTGGTGGACCATGTACAAGCTGCCTGTGATTACATGATTCAAACCATGCAGAAACAAGTCTTTCCTGTTGATCTGGAGTTTCTCGACAAACCTAGCAAACCGATCCCAGAATGCATGGGCTGATTGGACCTTGTCTTGGACAGTTCTAGTACAATCCATTCCAAAGGAAGAATCCAGAAGGACATGACACTGATACAAGGTTTTAAATCCCATAATGCTTGGTAAGAGTCATCCCTTGACGGACCGAATTGTGAGGGACAACCATGAAAGGGTCAAGCATTTGGGTGTGCTTTTATTACACTAAATTTCAGGATTCTGGCTCCCTCATGGAAGACAAGTGGTTAAAAAGGTCCTGGGAGACTGCCATTTATGCTGGAATGCAACTGGGCCCTAAGATCACAAACCTTCCTAAGCACTGGGTGAATTTGGTGAGACTCTTCCTTCATTCGACTACACAGGTCATTTGTGGGTTCATGAACAAGACCAACAGATCCAGGTATATATCATAATCTTTACCTGTCTAGAGATGAGGATGGTACATTTGGAACTGGTGGAAGACATATCTGTTCATTCATTCATCTCAGCATTTATCTGATTCTTGGACATGTGTGGCATACCATCTCGCCTATGTAGTGACAATGCTAAATCCTTCATTGCTGAATATGATTTGCTCCATCAGGCCCTCACTTCCTCTGAATTTGAGGAGAATTTTGGTTCCTGCATCATAAAACATGTCAGTATACCAATCCATTCTGCTTGGTATAGCGATGTTTGGAAGTGGGTCATTAAGGCCCTGAAGGCCTGTCTCTTCAAGACAATTGGCAGAGCCATTTACAGTCAGTCCAATCTTTTGACTAACATTTCAGACATCCAATGTGCGGTGAATGATTGACCCCTAACATAATAAGATTAGGGTGTACCCTGGTCGGATGTTAGTTTGTGGGAGAATTTTTGGAAATGTCCTGAGGTAGCTCTGCAATGATATATTGTAACCAGTGCAACATCTGGTAACATTTTGGATGTGTAGGGCTCAGTGAGTCACCTCCTGCAGAGGATGAGTGGTTTTGCCAAGGTTGCTCAAACCTATACACCTCTCTTGGTCAAGAATGGGACTCAGTTGGGGATGCACTCTGGTTGGATATCAGTTTGGAGGAGAATATTATGGAATAGATGGACCCTGCATTTGTCCTGAGTGCAATCAAGCAGATGATTGATCCCAAATGATTTGTTGTGACCAATGCAACAATTGATATCATTTTGAATGCGTAAGGCTCCCTATAAATAAAACCATTAGGATAGTTGATTTTTTTTTCCCATATGTTTGTCAAAAAATGATCTAAAATAGGTGCTTACCTGCAATCATCCAGGTAGGGAGAAAGCTTGTTGATTTATTCATCTTTCTTTAAATACTTGTTCTAACTATTTAACTCCTTTTTTTCTGATTGAATGATGTGCATATAGTTCTTTATCAAACTGAAAACAGGCAATCAGAGATGTTAAACTAACTTTACCAGACTTACAGGTGTTGATGATATTACTACCTGTTTTTAAGCCACAGTGAGGCATTGTTTAACTATTATTTTTTTTGAACATTTGTATTTTTTTGAAATCTTTGACATAACTGCACAAAATTTTATTTTAAAGTAAAATTTATACAGTATTTTATTTCTTATAGCATTTATATGTGTGCTATTTTATGTTTATATTTTCATTTTTAAAGAAATATTAAACCTAGTTTAATATCCAGTATAGTAGGGGTCAGTCACCATCTAAGAAAAAAGTACCATGGTGCAATCCTCTGCCAGAAATTTGGAAATGGCATGCTGTACTGATTCACGTTAGAAGCTAATACAAACATTTCAGTGTGTTTGGGTATCAATCTGAGGACAGTACAGAGGATTTTGTAAAGAGTGATTACAGATCTGTTTGGAGGATCACTATTGATGGTGACATTATGCCACCATTCATCTTCCTACATGGCCTCACACTCAATACGGCAAATCAAGTTTTGATGAAGTAGAGCTGCTAGTGGGTGGCTGTTAGAATAACCCTATGTCTGGCAACATGTTCATGCCACACAAGCAGGAGAACCCAGTCAAGACAATTTCTAAACCACATCACCTTACATCTGGCCACCTAACTAAAAATCCCTTGATTATAGGTTTTTGTAGACCAAAAAAACCCTTGTAATTCCAAAGATGAACTGAAGGCAAAGATTATGGCGCATTCAACTTAACAAGGAGATAGTCCAGAAGAGTTTCAGGAGTTTCAAAAAGCCAATGGTCAAGCCAATGCTGATTTTATTGAATAAATTTACTCTTTAGTATGTCAACATATTTTGGTGTAATTTTGGCAATATAGTTGTTAAAATAAGATGTCAGTGTTATTTCCATTATTGTCTCATTTAGACAACAATTTATCCATCGCACCCTGTATATGGGATAATGATGTGTATGTGTGTATATATATATATATATATATATATATAAATGGACACTGAAGTCAACACCCAGCAGTGATAGTCTTATTCATATATGTGAACCTATGTTGCATTTGTCAAATTCTGTAAGCTTCTTCTTAGAATTTTGAACTTAACCTTAAATTTAATCCCCCACTGATAGATTTTTGTTCTTGTTTAATGTTAATGTTTGCCAGTCTTATTCACTTTTATGTCACTTGTTTTGTTTCTTCAACAAAGTTTTTGTTGGTTAATATTACTGAACCTATAAATGGATGTATGTTTGCAATGATTAAGATATTGATCATCAAATTCTTTTGAAAGAAAATGTGAACAAACTGAAAAAAAATCAGAGGGGTTTACATTATTTTAACTACATTGATCTACATCTTTGTATGCAGATATACATATGATTTCTATTATTCAATTCATTTGTTATTTGTCAAAAAAGGCAGTCCATCCTGAACTGGGGTGGTAGCACATGTTAGGGTCCCAGCTATGGGCAAATAGTTAACCCCAGTTCATGGGTCAAAACACTATGAAAGTATAAAAATAGGTTTTTGTAGTAAAAATACCAGCAGTACATTTTTGAAAAAAAAATATCCCCAGTAATATGTTTGACTCTCGACATAAACACTCTTTGCAAAAATATGTCAATAAAACCTGGTTACATATTCTATTCATACAAACCTATCCTAAAAATCTTGTTGACATTAAAAAGAAGTGTTAGGTTGATCCATATCATGATATGTCCCGAAAGGATATATTTGTTCTGTATGGTTGTTGACTACTGTAACCGGGTAGAACAATCCAATGGACTGGTCCAAGTGGTAGGCAATAGGCATAGGCAATAGGCAAAGACAATAGGCGTCCATATCAGTCTGTATTTATGGCTGACACCAGCCAATCATATTATTGTGAGTGGGAACCCATATTCATTATATCAAAACATAATAAACCAAACCTGTTAGGTGATGCTATTTGAGTCTATAAAAAGGCAAACATTTCCTTCTTTTACTCACTTTTTCCTCTCACTTCTAGATGTAGTCACACGTAGATAAGGTGTGTCCCAGCTGGAGCACATTTGTTTCCTTGTTCCACTGACCATTGAACTCTCACACACACACATACATAAGTGTGAATCACACATGCTTGTTACGCACACACACACACACAAACAAACAAGTACATCCTTATAGTTAGTTTTTAATATCTTTTCTATTGATTTCAGTTGTGTACACATGTAATTGCTTTTGTTAATAACATGCATTAATTGTTATTTGTTTCATTTTTTATGTCACTTATTTTTCTCCAAACTCACATGAGTCCACCAATATTATTTGCAGGACAAAAGTTCCAGGAACTGTAAATATTTACTGAAAAACATTCACACCTTGCAACAAAAAGAGGTGGCTCCTACAATAATTATTTGAAATATATTCTATGCTAGAAATATACAAATTCTACTCACATTTCCTCCACTGCTATCAGTTGTCTTCAGGTAAAATGGCTGCGTATATCGAAGTGGTTGACCATTAGGTGTTCCATCACAACTGAAAGTGGAAATAAATGCTTATATATATATATATATATATATATATATATATATATAAAGAAAGAAAGAAAGAAAGAAAAGAAATATAGTTTTAAGGTGTGCTATATTTATGGAATAAAGTGCTCAATATCAGGGATAGAGCATATGTAAATATAAAAGTGAACATTGAAGTCAACACTCAGAGGTGACAGGCTGTTTCATGTTAGACGTAATCATATATATATATATATATATATATATATATAAATGTAAAAACCTAGTTTTAAGGTATGTTATATTTATGGCTAAAAGTGGTCAATATCAGGAATAGAGTATATAAATATAAAAGTGGACATATATATAAATTTCACCAAACTCAGAGTTATATTTAAATAACATAAGGGAAGTGTTTTATTTTATTATTAATTATAGATTGTCTTAATAAAAAGGAATAGCATATATCTTTATGTGATTTTATCAATTTGCATCCTAAGAATGATTAAAAATTAGGTTGGTTTCAACTCAATAATTACATCCTCTTTTGTTTTAATTATTTTTTTTTTTTTTTATAAATTCATGACTTGCTACAGTTTACAAAGAATTTCCTAACATCAATTACTATTTAGTTACTATAAGGTGGGAAAATCAAACAATTTTGATTTTATATTAAATGCAATATTACAACTTCATAATAAAAAGTTTTCAATGTATTAAAGAATGAAATGAATTTCTCAAAAAAATAACTCCCTCAGGTCAGGTTCGTTTACTACTAGTATTTACTCACCCCCCCACTCAGTAGTGGCAAGATTTGACAGAAAGTTGTTTTAAAGTGGGGAACCCAAGTGCATACACATGGGCCAAGGTCAAAAATTGCCCAGTCCCCACAATCACCATTGTGCTGGTGTTGATGTTCCACCAACCTTCCTATTTTGATGCAATAATGAATGTTGTCAGGTTACCTCATCCTAATTTTTGAAACTGCTTTGAGGGGATGCTCTCCAAACTATAAATATTCAACAATATATTTTTCTGACTCTCTTCTTACTTTTCCCGCTGACTTGACAACATGTAGATCTCTTGCAGAAGAACGTGTTCCCTTTGGGAAATGCATGAACAATACACACACACACATGTACATATGCACATTCACTCACGACACATACTTTGGACCAAAAGAGTTTTCACAGTCATTTGTCACACACATTATTGTCTTTGTCGCTTGTATACTTTTCTTGTTAATAAATTATTATTTGTTTGTGCATATATATTGGTTCTTGTCAGGGCACCTTGAGGCAGTGTAATGGTTAGCAAGCTTGTCTCGCTAGAACAATTATGACTGAGTAGTGAGTTTGATCCTCACTGGGTGCCCCATACTTTCAGCCTTGTGCCACATCTAAGATTGGAAAATCAGTATATTGGTTCTTGTCATTTGTTTACATTTCTTTACATGAACTCACATCCTGAGTCTGCCATGTTTGTTGTGGGCATACATACACCGAACTGCAACAAGGTGCTACCACAACATTGGAATCCCCAGGACAAGGTATCCCACAATTTTTCCCCTGCTCCATCTGAAATCTAATTTGCCAACTTGAAGGATACTATCCTATGAAATTATTTCAGAAAAGTTTGCAGTTTTTAAAGCAGTCCACTGGGACTGACCCACAAAGTTTTTTTTTATTCATGGAGCAACTATCTGGAAATTATCATATAAAATAAATGCTATATTGCTTTGCAGTTGGACAAATTCAGTAAAGAGTTCATATAAACTGTACCCATAATCAAGTACATATTTGTTCACACCATAAAAGACATTCTATAAACCATATTAATTGATAGAGAAATAAAAATTAATTTCCCTTAAATATAAATAAATAATAATTATATAATCCTCCATTTTAAAAATGGTAGCTTTTCTGTTTTTACATAGTTTTATCTCTCATAGAATTTTTTTCTTTTTCATTCCAGGCTTTTCCAATCAAGAAACCATTTTAAGACTAAGATCCTAAGCCATTTCTTCAATGTTTTTCTCCTGAGTAAACAGTTTTATTTTAATCTTCAACCTCTTATAAATTCATCATCACTTTTTTTTTTAAATCAGAAACTTAAATATAGTTTTAAGCATTTTCTTAATCCTTTTGATAACCAGACAAATGTTGAATTCCTCACATTTCTTCTCGTCTTAAACTAGCACAATCATCCATCTGACCAATTCTTATCCTCATCTCACTAATTTTTGTGATGTCAGCAAGTACTCATTGCCACTTTGTGATGCCACTTTTGTAATACAACTATAGTATGCCATTGAATAATGCTGGCGTCAAACACCTTCGAATATCACTCTCACTAAAGTAGGCCACTTGACCGTTTTTCTAGTCTATCCTCTATTACTATTCAGATCACCATTTCTAGTCTATCCTCTATTACTATACGAACCGCTATTCTCTACTCTATTCACTATGCTATTTCTCTATCTACATCACCATACAGATAACTATTCAAATTATTATCAAAAATCAACGATCAGCGTCGATAATACTAATTAATAGTAATAGAGGATAGACTAGAAAAACGGTCAAGTGGCCTACTTAATTCAATACTGGGATCACCTGTTTGCTCATTGGTGATCTATGTTCACCCTCAAGTGTCAGCAGTGACACTTTATTCCTGTATAACACCTCCTCTTTGAGATATTTCTTCAGCTTCGGTTCAATATTCAAATTGAAAGTTGCTGTTCTTTTTTTTTTTTTACTGTACCTCTTTGGTTCACTAATTTCTGGTGGTGTGGGTACATCAAACATGTTACACAATATTTCCATTGGTACCTCTTTTTGTGAACTTACTAAATCAGTGACTCTCCATTTCAACTGATTAAAACACTTTATCACCAGGTTTAAAATATTTATTTATATTATTTTGATTCCTTTATTCCTTGATGTTCTTGTCTTCCATTCTGGTAGTAATTTGCTAAATATGGACAATCTTCCTGGAGAACATTAACTCTGCAGGCGACATTCCAGACACGGTGTTTGGGTTTGGTGTTATTCTGTAAACACGCAAAAATTGTTGTAGAATTATTTCATCTGACTTCTCTCTTTTTTAGTACCCTTTTAAAAGTATCAACAAACCGTTCTGCATGTCCAATTGATCTTGGATGATAAGGGGAGAGTTGTAATATGTTCTATTGCTAATGATTTAAAAATAACTTAAATTCACTAGACATGAATTGAATCCTGTTGTCAGAAATGATATAGTTAGGAACACCAAACCTTGCAAAACTGAGAAAACATCTGTAAACTCTTTTTCAGCTCATTTTTCAATTTTTCAGTTGCTGTATTAGTGCCAGTTGTAACAACATTTATCTTGTTGCAAAAAGAATTAATTGGAAGGTCCCAAAGATCAAACAATGCAATCCAGCCTGTTCCAAACAAATTAGCTGTATTCTGTAATACAAACACCACCACTTTCTTGTTTTTTTCCAACAAAAGAAACATTACAGCTGAATTCACTCAAAAAGTTCAATCTCTTTCCTGAGACTCCATACACAACTTTATCAGAAGTCAATAAACTGGGTTTACCCATTTTTCTCTATGTCTGCTCATTTATGATAGTGTTATCAGATCCTGTATCTAGTAGCAATTTTATTTTTACATTATTAATTTGCACAAAACAAATTTCCTCTTTTGGAATGTCTTGTTAATTTCTTCTCATTTCTACATGTATTTATCATGTTCACATAGGTTTTCTTTTTTCTCTATTTTTTGTGTCTGCAACACGTATGTTATAAAATAAAATAAGACATATCTTGGTTGATTTGCAGGCAAATAAACTAACATACTTAAGAGCGAGAGCCAGATGTAAATGGGACAAGGCCCCGTCACAAAATGACCATTATCGTCATATACGCATAAGCCCGACGCACGAGTTCCAGTCGAAAAATAAAATAATATTTTAAAGTGTTTCTATTTTTTGACCAATAAAAATGATTCCCTCCTAATTATACTCGCGTTGTTTTTCAAGCCTGTTAAGTCATAAAAAACGCCATAAAAGGGGTCACATGGGGAAGTACAACAGCAGTCAACAGGAGGCCAGGGAAGAGATCGGTCACGGTCGGTCTGAGCAGCCAGCAGCAGTCAGCAGTAGTAGCGCCACACCAACCAGTGAGAACTACTATGAGAGATCAACCCAGGTCGGCAGCTGGCTTATGAACTATACCACAAGGTAGCTGTTCCAAAACCACATGTTCCTATTGAAATAAATCACGTAAATCTATTTCTGCTGTTGTCGTATTTATTTCTTGCAACCATATGCTTGGCTATAACACGTACTTTTGTGTTTTAATCTCCCACATTCATAAAATTTTTTTGTTCTTGAAAAAACAATCACTTTTAAAATGCTTACCTCCACAACCATGACAAGTATTAGGTATTGAGGTGGCGGGAGTTATCATCTTTTTTTCCTGTTCTGTTAGGAGTTGAAAAACATTTGTAGTTTTTTCTCTTAGATGGTCATACACTATGTACTTGTGAATTGTCTTTTTCCTCAGTCCTTGCAATATCAAGTTTCAAATTCACAATACGTTGACATTCTTCCGCTATTATTCGGAGAGTTTATTTGGAATCCATTTCTAATTTAACAAGTATCCTGAATCTTATCTCTGCATCTTTATTAAAAGTTAAACCCTGTATGAATATCATACATTTAAATAAATCCGGAGTTAATTCATTTAATTTGAACTTTTCACATTCTCGATTCACAACTCCTGCGTAAGTGACAAAATCTTCATTGCTGAACATTACTAAGTTAAGACATTGCCATCGTGTATTAAATAATGAACGCCTATCATCAAAAATTTTTGATAGTATAAAAACAGTTTCATCAAAATTTATCTCTCCTTATTTTTTGGCAAAATACAATTCACATATTTTTCATGTTGCACACGGGACAATTTGTTTAATAATAACCAAACTTTCTTTTCATCATTCCAATGTGAACAATCCCTTTTGAAGATCCATTCAT